TGTTGAGGGCATTGTCCAGTGAACATAGTGGGTGTTGAGGTCATTAGCCAGTGAAAATCGTGGGTGCTGAGGACATTGGCCAGTGAACATCATGGGTGATGTGAACATTAGGAAGTGAACATCAATGGTGCTGAGGGCATTAACCAGTAAACATAGCACTGAGGGCATTAGCCGGTGAACATCACAGGCGCTGAGGGCATAAGCCAGTGAACATTATGGTTCTGAGGGCATTAGCTAGTGAACATCATGGGTGCCGAGGGCATTAGTCAGTGAACATCATGGGTGCTGAGGGCATTAGCCAGTGAACATCATGGGTGCTGAGGGCATTAACCAGTGAACATCATGGGTGCTGATGGCATTAGCCAGTGAACATCATGGGTGCTGAGGGTATTAGGCAGTGAACATCATGGACGCTGAGGGCATTAGACAGTGAACGTCATGGGCGCTGAGGGCATTAGCCAGTGTACATCATGGGTGATGAGGGCATCAGCCAGTGAACATCAAGGACGCTGAGGGCATTAGGCAGAGAACAGCATGGGTGCTGAGGACATTAGCCAGTGAACATCATGGGTGCTGAGGGCATGAGCTAGTGAACATCATGGGTGCTGAGGGAATTAGCCAGTGAACATCATGGGTGCTTAAGGCATTCACCAGTGAACATCATGGGTGCTGAGGGCATTAACCAGTAAACATTGTGGGTGCTGAGGGCATGAGCTAGTGAACATCATGGGTGCTGAGGGTATTAGCCAGTGAACATCATGGGTGCTGAGGGCATTAGCCAGTGAACATCATGGGTGCTGAGGGCATTAGCTAGTGAAAATCACAGGCGCTGAAGGCATAAGCCAGTGAACATCATGGGTGTTAAGGGCATTGGCCAGTGAATATCATGGGTGCTGAGGACATTAGCCAGTGAGCATCACAGGTGCTGAGGGCATTAGCCAGTGAACATCATGGGTGCTGAGGGCATTAGCCAGTGAACATCATGGGTGCTGAGGGCATTAGCCAGTGAGCAACATGAGTGATAAGGGCATTAGCCAGCCAACAGCATGGATGCTGAGGGCATTAGCCAATGAAAATCATGGGTTCTGAGGGCATTAGCCAGTGAACATCATGGGTGCCGAGGGCATTAGCCAGTGAGCAACATGGATGCTGAGGGCATTAGCCAGTGAAAATCATTGGTTCTGAGGGAATTAGCCAGTGAACATCATGGGTGCTGAGGGCATTGGCTAGTGAACATCATGGGTGCTGAGGGCATTAGCCAGTGAACATGAGTGCTGAGGGCATTAGTCAGTGAATATCATGGGTTCCGAGGGCATTAACCAGTGAACAGAATGGATGCTGAGGGCATTAGCCAGTGAACATCATGGGTGCTGAGGGCATTAGCCAGTGAACATCATGGGTGCTGAGGGCAGTGGCCAGTGAACATCATGGGTGCTGAAGGCATTAGCCAGTGAAAATCATAGGTTCTGAGGGCATTAGCCAGTGAACATCATGGGTGCCGAGGGCATTGGCTAGTGAACATCATGGTGTTGAGGGCATTGACCAGTGAACATCATGGGTGCTGAGGGCATTAGCCAGTGAACAACATGGGTGCTGAAGGCATTAGCCAGTGAATATCATGGGTTCTGAGGGCGTTAGCCTGTGAACAGAATGGATGCTGAGGGCAATAGCCAGTGAACATCATGGGTGCTGAGGGCATTAGCCAGTGAACATCATGGGTGCTGAGGGCATTGGCCAGTGAACATCATGGGTGCTGAGGGAATTAGCCAGTGAACAACATGGGTGCTGAGGGCATTAGCCAGTGAACATCATGGGTCCTGAGGGCATGAGCCAGTGAACATCATGGGTCCTGAGGACATTAGCCAGTGAGCATCATGGGTGCTGAGGGCATTAGCCAGTGAACATCATGGGTGCTGAGGGCATGAGCTAGTGAACATCATGGGTGCTGAGGACATTAGTCAGTGAACATCATGGGTGCTGAGGGCATTAACCAGTGAACATCATGGGTGCTGAGGACATTAGCCAGTGAACATCATGGGTGCTGAGGGCATGAGCTAGTGAACATCATGGGTGCTGAGGGTATTAGCCAGTGAACATCATGGGTGCTGAGGGTATTAGCCAGTGAACATTATGGGTGCTGAGGGCATTAACCAGTGAACATCATGGGTGCTGAGGGCATTAACCAGTGAACATCATGGGTGCTGAGGGCATTA